TTGCAGAGTAATTGAATAAAGTCTGAGTGTTTAAGAATTTACTGGGATGAACTCCGTTCATAAAGAGCAGATGAACAGCAGATCTTCTGATTTGGCTCAACCCATCACCCTTCTGAAATTTCTTCTGCCATCTAATGTTTCACTCTAATCGAGATTTAAATGCTTTGAAAACTGAAGCTAAACCCACCACATGGCATTTGCCTGATGAAAACTCTTCCTAAGGTCGCGTGGGTGTGAACAAACAACACTTGACCAACATCTTCACTCCCTTGCTGGTTTATTGCACCTCTTGGAGTGGAATAAATTACACCTCCCTCTCTCAGCTCCATCAACATGATACTGCATGAAGTCAGTCAGCTCGCATTAAAGGCAATCAAAATGTCAACATGCAAGCTATAATACAGCTAAAATAATTTTAATATTAAATGAAAGCGTTATTGTAGAAGTCACACCCATGATTGCCTAACCAGTAAGAATGTGGTCGGATGAAAGCACATTGATCAAACCATTGATCAATGTGCTACAAGCCTGGTAAAATATACCTAAGAACCGTACTGAAGTGTAATTAGCTACTTCCAGTTATACACTACCAGTAATCTTTTATGATGGAGCTGAACTGAGGCATAAGTCTAATGAGACAGCAGAAAACATCTGTGTGGGTGTGTCGGCCTCGAAGCCATTCTTTCATACACACGCACAAACACACAAACACGCACACACACCGTTTTCCTTCTTACCACATCAAAATCAGGTTGTAAGATCGACCTGAGGCAAACTTGTCTGAGCGTCTGACTAAGTTTAAAAGCAGTTTAATTGGCCTTTCTCACAGCAGACATTTTCCTTGGACACGCAGGTGCGGCTAATAACACTAATTGCTGCATTCCATCTACAGGTGCGAGTTTCACGGATCTCATATTGTGCACCCTGGATTACTGGTACGGGCATCATTAGTGTTTTAGTTGTGTGCCTTTTCTGCTATGAATTTAAATTACTGCTCTGAAAAGGTCTTCAACTGCTGCAAATAAAGTTCCAAGAGAGAATCTCAGTAGGGGGCCATCAGTCCGCTTCACACATACACTTCAGCTGCAATATAGACTCTTGAAAAGATGTGTTTATGTCCACCTTCCAGCATTGGTTTTCATCTCAAATCTGTGTTGTTTATTCTGACTGAACCAGAGTCTGGTTTGTTTCCCCCTTGAACTGATTTGTTTGGGGAAGATCTTAAAACTGCATTCGTAGCTGGATGTTGACCAAAATGACCACCAAGTACTAGAGCTGGGCGATATGAGATTTTTTCATATCACGATATGTTTTTTTCATTTCAGGCGATAACGATATCTATCACGATATAAGCCAAATAACTATATTTGTAAGATTTAAATGTGCCGTTGCTCACAAGTAAAATGTGAAATAATCAGCTTGTTTTGATTTAAATATTTATTTCCCATAATAAGTTCAACAGGGTAGATGTACTTAAGGAACATGAGACTTTTTCAGATAAATAAAGGCAAATATTACAAACTACACAAAAGGCAGCCACTAAAGCGTTTAAGTTTCAAAATAGAACAAACGAAACAGACTAAATTGTCAATTCCACTTAGAAACAAAATATAAATTCTAAAAATAAATCTTAGTTTGTTTTACAGAAGAACAGACAAAACTGACTAACTTTTGTCAATATCAAATAAACTGAGAACTAAAAGGAAATTCTCAATCTCTCCTTGTTGTATAGCTGAGCTTTTCAAACAGTTTTAACAGTTACTTTAGTCTGACAAAAGCCGAATGACGAATTAGCGCTTCCAGTCAGAGACTGAGGCTACGTCCACACGTACACGGGTATTTTTGAAAACGGAGATTTTCCGTTTTCGTTTTAAAAAATAATCTCGTCCACACATAAAGGCAGAAATGAAGGAAAACGCTGCTATGAACATGCCAAAGCAGCAGGTGGCGCTAGATTCCTAACCGTGCAGAAATGTTGGCCAATCAGAAGTCTAGAAGCCTCGGTGGGAAAAAGTAAACAAAGCTGGGGCATAGAAGCAGAACCGAGTCGTATGTGTGGAGGGACAGTAAACACTGCAGAGAGTAGAATTAACAGTAACAGTATTGTAGAAGTTCATTTCACCGAAACAATAACGTGGCGCAGTGTGACGCATGCACCAGTTTATTGTATTTCCAGACTTGCTTTCGGCACAATTTACAGTGCAGCTACTCTGTTTTTTGTCAGACTTGAAATAGCCGAAATACCTTCACACTACGGAACTTCTATGGCTCTTCCGTTTGACAATCTCTCCGGCGTTGGAACCATCATCTGTTTTCTCTTCGGTCACGCTCGGTTGATTTTTCTAGTCGGCACACTCATTTCCTCCATTACCCGCTGGCTGCTTCCCAAACAAACACACGTGCGGCTTGGCACTTGTGCTGTACGTAACAAGTCACGCGACGTGACGCTGCGGCTGTGATTGGTTCGGCTCTGCGCTACTTAATTTGGATTGGCTGACCTTTTTTTTTTTTTTTTTTAAGAGGACAAGAGCGGCGAGGTCTATCGCGATAGCTTAATTTCTCTATCGAGTAAAAGTTATATCGCGATACATATCGTTATCGTTCTATCGCCCAGCTCCACCAAGTACACCAACTGACTTCGCCAGTTTAGGCTGAAAAGCTACCAAAGGTGGGTATGTTTTGCAGAAAATACAAACCTTATACAGTCAGTCTTCCAGCAGCTAGCTGGAAAATGAATTAAGGGCTGACCTCCTCTGTAAGCAAGTACATTGCTCTCTTGCCATTTGGTTGGACAGAACCGTCTTCAAGACCTCATCCCTGTGTTTACTTTCCTGATGCTGCCCCAGACACAGAAGGAACCGATAAGCAAAATGAATGTTTTTTGGCTGAAATCAAATCAAGGAAACATGTATTTTTCATTCTTAGTCAGCAATATGGAACTTGTCTGGGATGGTCAGATCAGTGTTAAAACTTTCAAACAAGCAAAATCTGTCTGGTTTCCATCTTTATGAGACTTTTTTGGTGTCACTTCTGACTTCTCTTTTTCTTTACTGGAAAGACTTCTACTATATTTGAAATACGCAATGCCTGCGTCTGTGTGTGTTTCCCTTAATATTTCCCGAGGAGTGCATTTGGAAGACAGTTCGCCTCCAAGTGCATATATACACACACACACACACACACCAGCCTGGCATATTTCAAATATGAAAGTGCATTTCAGCTAAGAAGTGGGAAGTGATTTATAAAAGGCTTTAGGGAAAGGCTTTCAACTGAGAAGAGAGAAAAGACATGGCAGAATAACTCTTCAGAGATGGAGAGTGGGAGGTTGCTGCTGAACCTAATGTTATAGATAGCAAAGCAATCGGTAAGGCTGGATATTTTAGCGGTAGATCGGGACACAGTAGCTCAACCTGGCGCATACAAAATGCACTTTGAGGTTGTAAGAGTGTGGGATAAATGAGCAAATAAATGAAATTTCACCGTTCTAATCCCCAAAACGGAGAGGTTCCAAACAGTTGAAGCAGCTGCTTTTAAACCAATGACTGATTTTTTGTCATTGCTTGGTGCTGAGCGATAATGCAGCAGGTATAATACAATACATGCCTTTAGTGCTGATACTGGTGTATTTCATTAAAACAAAGGGAGAAACTATGAAAACGTGCGTGAATGTTCTTGTTTGATAAGCTGATACAGGTGTTTTGTTTTGTGTCCTAAGGACTAGTTCGGTAATAGTGTTTCATATGCATCCTTTAATGCATTTAATTAATGGAAAGCAGAGCGTACAGAAGGCCATCGGTGTCAGCGTGTACACAAATATATAGGCATATGTGAACCTGCATTTTATCAGTACACAGCCGCCTGAAAAGGCCGCAAGGAAACGTTAACTTGCTAAAGGTGGAAGACAAAGAATGACCGATTACAAGTCACCTCAGCATACATTTGTTTTTTAACAGTTCTTTTATAACTTGCATGAAGCACAGAGTTTGAAAACAAAAAAAGCTCCTTTTAACTGATCCTAGTGGGACTGAGTCATATCAGCATCTGTCAGACAGACTTTGCTTGTGTGTATGCCAGTTTGAAACAGATTACCAGCCTGCAATCCCATCTTGGTGACTCAGCTCATGCCGTTTAAAAAAAAGAAAGAAATATGCTTACTCTAAAATGACCAGCGTAGCCACACTGATGACAATCCACTTTGCTCCACAGCAGCAGTCAATCCACACTTGACAATGCAGTCAAAGAAAAAGAGCTACGAATCCACAAAGGCCCCACTTCACACATGAAATGTCATCTTTTTCGTTCTTACAATGACATTAAAATGCTGTGCTTGAGAAGCTTTGGAGGCGAACTCCAGGTAAAAAGTTAGATTTGCTTTCGTATAGCACTTTCCTTCCACGTAAAACGCTGTTGCCCATTGGCACATACATGAATACATCAGTTTGACGATCCCACACACTTAAACACTGATGACACTTCCACAAGAAGAAGCTGGAAATCTGACCAGTGAACACCTGATTACAGGTTGACCCGTTCCATCTCCGAGCTACAGCCGCCTACACGCTGCCTTTTCTTCTCCAATTTGGTTTAATAATCTCATTATTTTTCCTGTCTTTAAAAGGAAAACAACCAGAAGGAAAACACTGTAGCCATGATGAATAAAATAATTATCAAGGGAATGGATTAACAACTAGAGCTACATTTCTGAAGCGAGCACTTCAACATAAATCACCATTTTAGATGAGAAGAAATCAGGTAATTATGCCAAAAATGCAACTGCAATAAATGCAATAATTCAATTCAACAAAAACAAAACATACTTGGTGTTGGGAAACCAATATCTGGGAACTGCAGACAGCAAAATGATGTTTCCAACATGTGTAAAATCAAACTGATGCAATTCAACTGTGTTATATGAGGACAACTCCTCCCATATTCATATTTCATGCTACAGAGTCACATTTTCAACACAAGATTGGTTCTTATATGGAGAAATCTGGTACCTGGCATGAGTGGCTGTCCAGTTATTCCCATGGGAGGCATCCCCAGGTTATTCATAGCTGTCGCCCAGGCGTTGGGGTCTGACATCGGCATTGTAATCGAGTTGGAGTCCATTGTCATGTTGCAGATGCCTTCTGCAAAAGGACAAACACACACAAAAAGGGATAAGGAAAAGCGTCAGCATCAGTCAAGTGACTTTCAAATCACCATGACAAAAAGGTAACGGCAGAAGAAGAGCCATGTTGTGGTGAAGACCGAGGTAAACGACTGTTTTTAAGTGTGCAGCGCTGTCGTGGCATGTCTAGTTGCCAAATTGTTGCTTTAAGTCTGTGTTCTGTCTGAGGCGAGGAGAGGCGAGGCTACCGTGACCCTGCAGTCAGTCTGACCACAGTGATTTCAGCAGCGCTGTCACAGAGAATCTATTTTTCCTCGTGTTGTCATTTGTTCAGTTGGTGCACAGAGGTTCAACAGCCTGGCCTTTTGACACATTCTGCCTCTGTGAGTGTGCTGAAATGGCGCCAGATGCCTTAGAAAGGCACGAGGAGGAGGGGGGAGAAGGAGGACACTCGCACATATCAACACAAAAATGTACACCAATAAGTTCTCCAATGAAAGATCTGAGCTTTCTTTTGCAACCAGAGTAAGAAAATAATAAAGGCTAAACCAAGATTATCAAGGCGAGGAGCATAAATCCTGATTCTATCACACGTTTGCCAGGCAGTCTGCTACTAAACCTTGACAAGCTGAAAACTCTCCAACTTAGAAGGACAAATATGCACATTTCATCTCAAACAGACAACTCCAGATCTGTGGTTTTGCTTCCAAGTGTTGCATAATAAAGCATATTCTGGTCACCATAATAAAAAAAGCCAACATGAACACAAACCAGGGACCTATTCTCTCCATCTGCAGTCCATCCAAGAGCCCTAAATGCTTCTGAATTCTTTCCTCCGGTTGACCTTTTTCTTTCTGACAGACCTGTAAGTTGCTGTGGCTGCAGCATGAATGCTCTTCTTTCCTGATGCCAAATCCAACAGTCCTAATAATGAGAAGAGCTGTAGCCTGCACATACTTCACGCCTCAGAAGGTCTGTGACAGAGCTGACTGTGGTGCTAACTGTCTGCTCCGCGTGCACGAATGTGTGCGTCTGACGAACAACAACTGCTATATTGGTATTCCTGGTGTTCACACACAGCTGGGAATGTGGAATAATGCCGTGTGCCTCTTTGCTTTCCTCTCAGAGCTGCTAATTTCAGACCCGTCTGCTGTCGCTGCCATAGAGAGGCCCGATAAAACCCACATTGTGTGTGTCGCTGTGATAATGCTGCTGACGAGGACTTCACAGGCTTGTTAACTAACACAACCCTATTAACTGGGGACACTTTTGAGGCGTTAGAATAAAGGAAGAGAAGAGTGGCTGTGAGCTCTGGTGAACAGCTGTGCTGCAGTTTACAGTACAGAAACCTGCAGTGCTAACACAAACACACACCCAGGGCTGACAGGTGACAGCCTCAACCGAACAGAGTCCTCTTGCCTGGTTAAATAAAAACTAGCTTACAACATGGCCTTTTCATACCATACAGACGCAGACTGTTACAGACTCAGTGGTGGTCTTTTCCGAGTTTCCTGTGATGGGTGGGGCTTTGAACAAGAGGGGAGAACTGCAGGAGGGCTTTCATTTTTCTTTCTAAATTTTATTTTTTTGCCCAACACTCTAAAAAGTACTTTTAAATCCTCACTAAAGGTCAGTGTACTTCTTGATTGTGGTGCTCACATTCAAACTATCATGCATTTGACTAGTTAGGTCAAAGAAGTTAAAGTATCAAGTGGCAGGTCAAGTAAATTCAGCTGCAGTAGCCTGTTCCAGTCTTTTGCTGCCCATCCTGCATCGAACCACCCTGCTATCCACTGTCTCGGAGACATACACTCTGTCCTTCATAAATCAATTATATTTTTCTGACTTGCATCCCCTGTATGTCAATATTTAAAGGAATTTTAATTTTGTTATGACCCTAAGGACAGGCCTTGGCTCCCCCTGAAGCAATCATCCTACACCATCGCATCGATGTAAGTGATCTTCGGGGAGAAACAGCAAACAACTGCTGAAGGATCAACACAGGGAGACATGTGTGAGCACACACCAAGAAACAGATAAACACAGTGCACAAGTTCACCTTGGCAGAAAAGAGGAAAGGGAGCCTGGGATGAGGGAGCCAATAACAGAATCAATGTTGGTGAAAACACGGATTAGAGCACTTTGCTTTGCAGCCAATTGTCTGCATGGAATAAAAAGTGCCTAAATAACTCACAGAATCTAAGAGTATTCATCAAGGTCAAATGACTTGGGAAAACTTATAGCAACTTATATACAGTTTCAGCTCTTAGCTTAAGTAACATGTGTGCACCACATGAAGCTGAACATTTAATATCTAGGATGACACAAATGCCTAATATACTGAGTCCGGTTACGAGTGTCTAGCTTCAAAGACAGCAAGGCCTATTCACAGCATGTCCCCATGTCTTCCAAAGTAGTGACATCTTATCTGATTTGATTATTAATCACTAAATTATTATCCAAAAAGGTCCAAAATTCACAGCAACAGCTTGAACAACTTAGATGAAAATTGGGAAGGTCAAATTTCAAAAAAGCTATTTTCTTTTACTTTTACTGCATAAAAATGATTAACAACCGCTTTGTATTCTTACTGATTTGTTAAGCAGCAAAACTCAAAATGATGACTGCATGCTAACAGTAACAAATACTAATGGACATGCTGTGAAAAGACCAACATGTGTGCACCTCCACATCACTATGACACATGTCTGTATTACGGATTTTGCCAGTGGCAATTAGAGCAATAGCGATTTTGATTCAGCCGGGGTCCACCCGTTCCAAGTCTTTCCTGACACTCTCTGCGGGCTGTGACCAGCTTTTAGCTTCGCTAAAAGGTCCCCCAGGAGGCAGATAGGAAATTAAGTCATTTAAAGGCCCATTGGCCGTAAGCCCCAACAGCAGGCACAGGGACGCTGGGGGCCATTTAGTCTAAAATGCACACGGTTTTAACAGCTAACTACAGGTTTATTACAGCCCCTAGAGAGTGAACTCAAGAGGGAGCATAAAAGATACGGAGCAGAGACAAAAACAGAAAGAACAGGTCACTTAATAGATGTGATGCTGACGGAAGAGTAAAGTAGAAAATGGAACCGAACTTCAACATTGCACTAAATAAAGCACAGAGGACTGATGATAGTCATTACCACAAAGCAGGAACAGCAAAAACCCACAATCATGTATTATATTATTCCATTGCTGAACACAAAGTGGTTGAGCTGACAGATAAGCACATTTAAAGTTCACTGCATGTCCTCCAACCAAATGAAAAACCAATACCCCAAATATTTGTTCCACACTATGTTCTGACTTGTTAGTTTCAGGCAAAACATTGGAAGAGAAATCTGCCACTTTCCATCAAGAATCATGAGTACAGTAACATACATTTACAAGGAAAGAAAAAATGACTGCCCTAGATGCCTTTAATGCAGAAGACGCAATGTGCAGAACAACTGATACATCTTTAACCTAAACCTCTCCCGAAGTCTCCTGAGGTCTGTGTGTTTATCTGCAACTGTCTCTGAGTATGTGAGATAAATAATAAAAAAACTACTTCATATGTGAAAAATACTTAGAGCCTAAAACCACGAAGATCAGACTTACGCAATAGTAGAAAATCTCCTTTTGAGGACAATTTGTACGACTTTATCTTTGATAAATTATGAAAACCTTCTCAAAACGGATAAATCGGTTCATAAAGATCACGATTTTTTCAATGACTTACGTGACTAACATACACAGGCACATATACGTACAGAGTGTGTGTGTTTAATAATGCATGACTGCCCTTCTTTCTGCGTCTTTGATCTGTTAATTATGATAAAACTAGTAGGGGTCTGGTAATTAGTGGTAGCAAAGGCAAAAATGCCCAGAGTGTTATACTGCACTGCGTCTCACTTAGGACCCAAAAAGAGGACAACAAAGTGAAGACGTAAAGATGACAGACAAGGCCTGAAGACAGTCTGGCCTCATGGGGGGGGGGAAAGGGGTCAGAAACTCCCTGTGCTGTTTCACTTTCAATCACCTCGGTGTTTCTGATACATAAAATCATTAATGAGAGACGAGTGCTGAGAGAGAGTCTCAGATCTGTTAGGTTAGTTTGACGTTGTAATCATTTAGCACTGCTGGTGATGTCGAGACAGATATTTTTTTGTGACTGCTTATCCAACTTTTTCTTTCAGCATCTTGCACTTGTGTCCATGACTTTTTCCCAGACATTAGCTTTATTTGAAGAAAAATAAGGAGAAATATTATTTTACAGCAATACAAAAGCCAAACCGCCTTAAATACAGACGCTGTCTGTCAAATAGCCGACTACAAACTACAAGATTCATGGTGCTGTACGGTGACGTAGGAAGAAATTTCATCACCCGGCAAATGTGAATAAGAGGCAACCTCAGGCATTGTTCATTGTACAGAGGGCTAAACAGCCTTAAGATTTTAACCATAATGCAGTGCTGCTGAAAATAGGTGTTACAAAATACTCCCAGCAACTGACTGCAAATAAATTCATTGCAATTTGATGGCTGAGAGTGTATCTTTGTGTCCAACAGGTGACTGTGGGTTTAGTGAGGTGGTGGCAGCGGAGGTTGTCAAATCAAATTACGGACTCTAAAATTGGATTGGAAAAACTAACCCCAACACCAATTCTCAGCAGAGGTGAAATTCCAGCTCCACAAAAAAATACTAAGAGACCAATGCATATCTAATGACTAATGCATAATGTATATTATAGTCCAATCAAGCGCTCACGCTTATAAAGACTCCACTGCTTAATCAAAGTGCAGGAAATACTACTTTCTCTGCAGAATTTTTAAATAAAAAGGCATTTCCTTATAAAAATGTGCCAATTTTTAACTGATAAAGGAAAACGGGTTCGTTGTTCACTACAAACCACATGAAACTGTCGCCACAAAGCAAAGCACAAACAGTCAAACTGCAACACCCTTATGTACTGATGCTGCATAGATCTTCCCTTTTAGTAAACGGCTTCTTTTATATAATATCTGTAGGACTACAAAG